CCGGCCAGCCGGTCCCCCGCAGGGGCGTGTTCCCCATGCACGTGTGTCTCAGCCGTGCGTGCATGTCTCAGCCGTGTGCGTGTCTCAAACGTGCGTGCATGTCTCAGACGTGTACATGCATGTCTCAGCCATGTGCATGCTTGTGTCTGCCATGTGCATGCATGTCTCAGCCACGTGCATGCATGCCTCGGCTGTGTGTGTGTGCATGTCTCAGCTGCATGTGTGCGTCTCAGCCATGTGCGCGTGTGTCTCAGCCATGTGTTCCTTTGCTCGGTGCAGCTCTGTCCCCACCAGTATCTTTGTCACAATGAAGGAAGAGGCTATTATGTTTATTAAATTGTATCAAGGCAGCATTACAGCAATTGGCAGCTGGTGACCCTGGTTATTTATAAAACAGGCTTTGGAAATCGCAGCTCTGGGCTTGGGCTTTTCTTCAGAGAATTATGGAAAAAAAAAATCAATATTGCAGGACAGGGCCAAGTCGGTGGTTAATTGCGGGGTTGGTTCCAGGAAACGCCTCCTGGTGTGATGGCAGCCATGGAAGAGCTGACTTCTCCCCCCACCTCCCCAAAGCCCCCAGCCAGGTCAGGAGACCTGGTCCTGCAGGTCCTGCAGCCCCTGCCCTCTATGGTGGTGGGGCCGTGGTGGGGGGACAGCCCTCCTTAGGACCCAGCACACTGCCTGGGCTGGCAGCTCTGGGACCAGAAAAGGCCAAGGGAGAGCAGCTCCTTCCTTGCACTGCAGTGCTGGCTTCCTGAGCTGGCAGGGACAATGAAGGGTGTCATCTCGTCCACCTTTTGCAGCATTACCAGGGGGTTGCGGTGGTGTCAGAGTCTTGGGGTATTAGGCTGGTGTTCACCCCCCCATCCTGCAGCAGTTGTGGGTCAGAGATAGGCTCTCCTGGTGCTCATCACACAGTGCCCTGTGATTAATGGGGGGAATTAGGATGATAATAGCCCTTTAAATGAAGGTGCCAGTTACAAATGATGTGTGCCCATGCTGCATGGCGATGGATGGTGCCAGGGCCAGCCCCTGGGTGCTGGTAGGCAGGCGTGCTCAGAGGCACATTATGGCCAGGGCAGAAGCAAGGAAGGGATTGTGATGCCATAGAGATCGGTGACATCATGGGATGGGCATGACATCACATGCTAGCTCAAAGTGAGGGGATGTGGGACAATCCCAGCACTGTGTGCACATGGTGGTCTGGCAGGGAGGAAGGGCTGCAGTTGCTCCACTGTTATCTGGCTGTGCCAGTCATCATGACATGTCACGATAGTGCTGGGGTATGATGTCCTTCATGGAGCTGCTCGTATTGCCCCCCAGAGTGGCTGTACTGGGGCCCGGGTGAGGGGTCCCGGGCAGCAGCCCTGCAGGGCCAGGAATTCCCTTCCCTCCCCAGGAGGGGCTGGGTCCCCCCAGGATCCAGCCCCTTCTCCCTGTGCTGGGGCTTGTCCTGCAGCACAGCTCTGTGGGGCTATGAAATACATCCCGTTAATTCACCATTTAATTATTGGCTGTTTGTTTATTGTTTGTTTGCTTTAGTTGGTATGAATTTTTTATGATGGTTTCCATTGCACCCCGCCAAAAGCCAGTGAGATTTACAGCTTCGGCATGAGCAGAGCCTTAACGAGGGAAAGGACCCCGGTAGCAGCAAGGGATGACTCCATGTCACCATCAGAGGAGGGTTTGGGGTGGCTCCTCCCAGGGCTGGCGGGGGGGCGCAACCAGTGGGTGCCAGGGAGGCTGTGGGGAGGCTGTGAACTGTGGGGCAGTGGCCCATGCAATGGGGGGTTTGTGTGGGGCTGGGAGGCTGGTTAGGTGGCTCTGTGTGGGGACGGGGAGTAGGGCTGAGTGCCAAGGCTGGGAGCCAGAGGAAACGGCATGCTCAGGTGCAGGCACGTTCAGCCCCAAGCTGCAGCATCTCCCATTAATGAAGCACTTCATCACCGCGGCATTGCGGGGGGGGCACCCAATTCAGAATGATAAATTCCCCACGACGGCCCTGCGCTCGCTCGCAGCAGCCGTGATTCTCCTTCATCTTGAATAATATTTTTGGAGTGGTTGTAAAATAACCCGCCACAGCAGCTGCAAGTGGAGACACCAAGGCCCAGCAGCAATCTCCAGGCCCCCCACCCCATTTGTCTTTTCAGCTCCCCACCCTGTGGGGGCAGCTCCCCATAGCCCTTGTATGGGGCCAGGGACTGCACTGGCACACGTATGAGCGTGTGCCTAGCCACGCATGTTTGTGTGTATGCACGTGTGCAAGCATATGTCTGCTTAGAAAGGCATGTATGTGTCCATGCACATCTGTTGGGACGTGCGTGCATGCAGGTGGTCATGCGTGTGTGTGTGTGCAAGTACGTGTAGCTGTGCAGGCAGGGGTGTGCCTCTGTGCACGTGTGTGTGTATGAGTGCAGAGCTGCCTAGATGTGCACGTACGTGTAGCTCTGCATTTGCAGGTGTGTCCACACACATGCATGCTTCCTGAGGTCAGCTGCTGTAATTCTTTTCTCTCTAGGAAGTATTTGTGGGCTGTCTTGTTCTTCCCCAAAAGCGCTGACCCATCAGATCTGCACGGTGCCAGGCAGGGGCAGCCATGAAAGAGAAGAAGCTCCAGCAGTGTCTATTTGCTGGTGTTTATTGTATCTCCCTCAGGGGGTAGGGGGGTGGGGAGCACGCTGGAGCCCTCCCCAGCACTCTGCAGGGCTGAGTCCCTCGCCACAGCCGCTCCTGTGGGTCTGTGGGCAGCCTACCCAGGAGGGCTCCTGAGCAGCAGGGCACGCACTGTAATCACCATGGAAGAGGGAAGCACGACACAGAATTAAACAGTCTCTTAATTACAATCATTAATGAGCACGGAGGCAGCTGGGCTTTGTGGGCAGGGAATCCCACTGCATCTCTAGGAGAAGTCCTGGGCTCATCTGCAGGGAGTTAGGAGCTTGCATTGGGCCAGGGTGCAGAGATGCAGGTTGTTCCAAAGCAGATCTGGCTGTGATGGGACCGGCATTCCCCCAGACATCCTGGGCTCCTAATGCTGCTGGACACCCTCTTAGGATCCCTGCGCAGTGCTTCGGTGCTGTGCTCCAAAGACGTTATGGCACTGCACGAGTCCCACCACTTACACACATGTGCATATGCACATACCCTGTGAACCCCTCCCACACACCTCTGCTATGACCTTAGGCACATGCACCCTTCCCATACACCACACTACTGTCCCTGTGCCACAGCAACCGTTGGCAGAGGAACGCAGCAAAGGACACGGGCGTGCCTGTGCTGAGGGCAGGATGCACTCTGTCTTGGGGAGTGGCACTTAATCAATCCCATTTCAAAACTCTAATTATATCAACAAAGGCCTCAACACGGCGCTGCTGGCTGCAATTCAGGCCTTGATTATTTATTTCCACACGCTCCAGAGAAGTTTCTCCCCTTTGTCCTTTTATACTTTGCTGAAAGAAATTAGGTTAGGAGTGGCACTGACTGGGCTGCGCCATGCTGGGTAGAGGGTGCTGAGGTGGGGAGGGAGGCTGGATTGTTGGGCTGGGCTGGGGCAGCAGCAGGGCTCTGGGTGTGTGTGGGAGAGTGGAGACTCCCTAGGGTGCTCCAAGCCAAAACTTCAAAGTGGGGGGGCTTACAAGTCACTGGTAAAAAGAATTGCCAGAGCTCTTGTGTGCATGTGTGCGCGTGCATATGCGTAGGAGTGTTCATTTGCAAGTGCCTGCCACCATGTCAGCATGCATGTTGTCTACCTGTGCATGTGTGTGCATGCATGCATGCATCGGCATGAGCAAAGACTGGTCTACTGGGGGGCACCAGGCTTTGGCCATGAGCCCTCAGTGGAAGGGGCGCGCAACAGGGACTGGCCTGTGCCCATCAGGTGTGTGACACTGTCACCGTTGTATGCCACCTCACCATGCTCTGCTCCCAGCTCCCCCCCAGACACAGGCTGCGCTGGCTCTTGCCACTGCCAGAGTGTGACCAGCCCCTCCCAGATAAGGGGGGGGGGGGGAGGGGGGGGCAGTCTCTGCTCAGTTCCAGCCTGCTGCTTTTGGCTGCCCACTCCATCCATCTCCCCAAGTCTTTTGTTAAGAGCCAGTGGATACAAATAGCTGGTTTCCATATGCACAGCAGCATCTGTTACTGCCAAGGAGATTTGCATTGCTAAATGTAAATTGGGTGTTATGTCATTTATCATAAACGGGAGGGTGGAGGGGGGCACTGAGGGGAGGCAGCAAACATCGGCAAAGTTGTCATAACAAATCACACGGCTCATCGTTTGCCCTGGCAGAAAGGTGCAGAGCAACCTGTGAAGGATTTGCACATGGAGGGAATGAGTTGGCCCCTTGTACAGAGAGGGAAACTGAGGCACGAATGTTGTCTGGGATGCAGCAGCATGCGGGGACCTCAGGTGTCCAAACCCAAAGCTCGTTAACCCACTCATCAGGGCTCACTATGGGAGAAGCTGGAAGGGGCAGAGTGCAGCCAGAGCTAAGGACCTGATCCTCAGCCTCCCTCTCCCCTTCCAGCTTGCAGTGTCCCTGGGCCAGGATCCCCATCCCGTCCCGCCCCGTCCCTCCCAGCCCTGCCGCAGACGCCTCCCTCGTGCTCTCCTGCCCACCCTCCATCCTCGGACAGCACTCGGGAAACTGCCATCGCAGCCGGACCTTCCCCACAACCTCACCATGAAGGGCCCCCTTCTTGGAAGCATGTTCTCCCGGCATGTCAAGCGGCACCCCGGAGTGAGTCACCCCGCATGGTCTCCCTCCAGGGACCCCCCCCCCATTCTTCCCCATCCCTCTGCATCCCTCTGCCCCTCTCCGCCTCCCAGGGATCCCCCGCAGCCCCTGTCCCTCTGGGATCATCCTTGCCCTTCTCTCGCCATATGCCTCGGAAACCCTGCGCTTCCCCACACCCTTCTCCGTCCCCCCCCCGCCCCCCTGCCCATTCCTTCTGCCCTCCTCAGCCCTTTGTGCTCTTTGCCAGCCCCCTCTTCCTCCCACTCCCCAAACCCCTTCTCAACCTCCTGTCCAGCTCCTCTGCCCTCCCCTTGCTTTCCCAGGCTGTCCCTGCTTGCCAGCTTCCCCTTCACACCGTCCTCCTGGCTCTCACAGCATCCTCCAGGTAAGCTGGGTGGTCCCAGCGGTCCCCAGCCCTCCTTTACTGAAGAGAGGTGAGACCACTCAGCACTGCCTGACCTGCTCCCTCTGTCCAGCGCTGTCGAGGGGCCAGGGCTCCTTCGCTGAGCTGGACTGGGCTTCTGGCACAACTCTTAGACACACAGAGGCTTACTTAGCCTGACAGGCATGCCTGCTGGCAGCTGCTTATGTGAAGGGTGTTGCTCTGTGTCCTCCCCCCGCTACACCCTGCTCCAGGGGCATCTTTGGGGGAAGTGGGAAACCCACTCACCCTGGCAGCCCCCGGTTTGAAGCACCAACTCCCATCCTTTCAGCTCAGATCTGTCCCCTGCTGTCAAAATTGCAAGCTGAGGATTTTGCATACAAAGATGCTTAAAGCCTCATAACTACAGACCCTCCAAGACAGTGGCAGCTGGGAGAGTGTCCTCGCCCTGCCAGGGCAGGCCTCTTCTTCTGCTAGGCTGGATCCCCTCCCGCATCAGGGACCTGGCCCTTGTCAGAGGGTCCCCAGCCCAACCTCGCCTGTCCCCACTGCCCACTGGCCTCTCTGGGGACCTGGCAGGGGCTGGTGGCCTGGGGAGGGTTAATGAGCTGCAAGCACCGGGCTGAAAGTCACGTAAGCTGTTGGCAGTTGGGTTTGGGGCGGGTAGAGCAGCCAGGCTGGAAAGGATGATGAGCTGTGGCTGAGCCTCCGGATGCCTGGCTCGGGCAGGGGAGGGGAGTCCAGGGCTGGAGCAGGAGGCACCCTGGGGCTGGGCTCTTCCAAGGAAAGGTGGGTTGGGTGCCTGTGCACTGCCAGCACTGAGGGCACAGGCAGCCAGGACACCTTGGTGCTTTTCACATCCTCAGTGAGAGTGGACAGATGGACAGTACGGGCCAGGGCTCCTGCGCTGTCTTTGTGGCGCTGCTGCATGTTTCTGTGTGCAGAACAGGGGGATTTGGGGCTTTTCTGTTCGTGCCTGCCACGGTTTCCCCAGCTGTCAGAGGACTCTGTGTGACTTGGGGGACACAGAGAGGCCCCCAAACAGTATGTGTAAAGGGGGGTGGTGGTCCTGGGTGCCTGTATGTGAAGAGCCTGGCATGTGCCCAGCACCGTTAAGCAAGGATTATTGCCGGCAGAGGTTGCTGGGGCACTGTCATCCATTACATGTGATCAGCTGCAGCTCATGCCTGGCTGGTACATCAGCACTTTCACCTGGAAATTGACTCTCCCACCACAGCTGCCCAGCTGCCTGCCCACCTGGCAGTGATTAATGTCCCAAGCATGCCAGTGGAGCACCATGGCAGTGAAGCACAGGAGCTTTGGCAGGACAAGAACCTGTTTGGCATGGTGGTCCGGGGGCTGCACAGCTCAAGCAGGCACCTTTCAGGCACTGGGCAGAGCCCAGCACTGCATCCGACCATCCACCCACCTTGGTGCATGGTCATGCTGCAGGAGGGGATGCTCATCCGCATCCTGGCATGATGTGCTTGTCCCACCCCACCCAGGCACAGGGCCTCCACCTTACCCAGCACCTTCACATGTTTCTTTTCTCCTTCCTGCTATTTTTGTAGCCAGAGCGGTAGGAATGGGGCCAGATCCCCACTCCGGCAGAGCACTTGGAAGTGCTGGGTGGCGGCTGAGGCTGCAGCTGGCCTGCAGTGGGGACTGGCTGTGCCTGGACAGGGGGCTCAGCCTCACTGCCGGCAGAGACGGGGGTCCTGGGGGAGCAGGGTGACGCCTGCTTTGCTCCCAACAGGTCCCCACAATCAGGGTTAAAGGGCAAACGCTGCATGCAGACAAGCAGCATTTTAACTCTCCATATGCTTAAGGTCAAGCTCTCAATGTCTTGTTTATTTTTGTGTGTTTCTTGGGGGGGCATCAGGCCCCGCTGCCTGCACCTGCAGCTCCAGAGCCCCTTGCCTGCTGCGTGAGAGGTTCCCCCAGCTCCCCCTACCTTTAATTCTTCCCAGGCATTAATTACCCAGAAGGTGTCAGCAGCAGATGGTGAGATGAACCCATCGCCCCGAATCTCCTCCAACAGACACCACAATTCCCGGCACTGTGGAGTTCGTCTTGATTAGCCAGCGCGGTTGGGTAGCGGCTACTGCCAGATCCTCTTGGCACCCAGATCATTATCTGCTGATGCCTCTAACCTCCCGAACTGGCGCTGGCATCTGCCAGGAGCTCGATCAGCTGCTGTGAGCGTGGAGCACTGCTTGGCTTGGGCACGGACACTGCTGAGCAGGAGCTGGGCCGTGCTGGGGGCACTGGGAGAGGATGGGGGGGTCCAGCTGGGGACCGAAGGCTGGGTAGGGAGCACTTGGGGAGGGGGACACATCTGACTGCCCGGGTGTCTTCCTCACAAGACCCCACCCCCACCCCGTACAGGTCATCAAGGTGCTTGGCAGAGAACAGAGGGGTTTGGACAGACCCTTTTCTTCATGTTTTGGAGTTGTCCCCCCTGTCTCATCCAAGTGGGGAAACTGAATCACCGTGTGGCGGGTGTGCAGGTGGGGGTTCTGAGACATTTGCTAAGAGCTCAAGCTGCCAAGCAGAACTGCAAATATAACCCAGGCACTCAGGTGCTAGCAATGTGAACTGCGCGGCACGCACGGCTCCCGCAGCTCCGCCAGCCCCCGCTCCCCACTCTGCACTAATGGGCACTGCGAGGCACCGGCCATGTTTGCCTTCCCAGGGGCATGGGTTGGCGGGAGGTTCATTACGCTCAGACCGTCTTCCCCGGTGTGGGGGCCGCGGCAATTTGGGGGAGGTCAAAGCAGCCTCGTCTTCGCTCCGATTGAGGCCACGTCACCCCAGGCACTGGGGGATTGGCAGCACGAGTGGAGGGGGGAGCGGAGACGAGAAGATGGATCTGGTCGCCCTGCAAAGGTGCAATGAAAGCCCCTGTGCACACAGAGTGGGGTGAAGGGATCTCCTGCTTGCAGGGATGCCTGCTGTGGGGCTGGGGCAGCTCCCAGGGGGGGTCGCTGAGTGCCCCCTATGCTGGACTGTCACCATGTCTCTGAGACCTGCTCTGGACCCAGCTGTTCAGCCACCAGCATGACGCCTGGCCCCAGTGTGTCCCAGTCTGTCCCTACTGTAGGCACAGGGGAAGACAAACTGAATCCTCCTCATCTCATGCTTCATCGGGAGATGGTGCGGGAGGGGTGAAGGCCCCGGGGGGAAGCTGCAGGGGGATGGAGAGCCTGCCTGAGGCAGGCAGTGGGGCTCGGGGCCAAACCTTGCCCAGGCTGCAGCCCTGCGCTGGGCAGGGACCAAGTCCCTTGGGGAGGAATCATTAGCCGAGGCTCAGCCCCTGACTGGGGGCACCATGCATGCCAGGAATGGGGCCCCCAGGTCCTCACCCATGGCCACGCCAGCCAGCACCAGTGCTGGGCAGCAGCAGGCGGAGGGGAAGTGATTTCTCATTCCAAATCCAATTCCTCTCCAACACGAGCCGATTTTTCTCTCCCTCTTTTAATTCAGTCACTCAAGCTGACAGCTACACTGTGTACCGCAGCCCAGCTACAGGATTGCTCTGCCATATTTCCCCTGTAAATCTCCCGGTGTGTCAGCTCTCCCTTTCACTCTCCAGTCGGCCTGATAAATATTCATTTTATTGGGGTATTTTTCATTTCTCTCTCTCTCTGCAGCTCATTCCCCTCATTGGCTTCATCAGTGTCGGCCTGGGCAGTGCTGTCCTGTATTTGCTGAGGCTGGCCCTGTACAGCCCGGATGTCAGGTATGGGTCGGGGTACCCCTGGGCACCCCTTGGGCACTCGCCCCGTGCCCCTGGAGCTGAGGGGGCTGATGCCCACCTGTGGCAGGCAGGCACTGGGGTACACAAGGCGCCTGGATGCACTCTGACACCTTCACAGTGAGCAGTGTCAGAGGGGATAGCCAAACCTGGGTGCAGAGGTGCCCAGAGGGGGCGAGGGAAGCTGGGGCACCATCTGCCCTCTCCTTGCTTGGGGGCAGGGGGCAACAAGGACCCCTTCAACCTGGTGCTCTGGGCACTGCACCAGCTGCTGTGGAACGGGGGGCGGGCAGGAGAGAGAGACACGGAGAGGTTATGGGACTGGCAGAGGGAGCGGGATGGATAGGTGGATGATGAGGCAGATAAAAGCAGAATGTGACTGATGGAGAGGGGGAAAGACAGTGTGGGGAGGGATGGATTGATAGAGGAATGGGAAACCAGTGGGACGGATGGTTGGAGAAGGAATGGGGAGAGAGAGGAAGGGATGGACAGATATAACAACAGTGTGCAAGGATGAATGGAGAGGGAGCAAAGGGAGAGGGAGACAAGGTGTGATGAGGAATAGAGGGTAGATGGATTGGCACAGGACAGACAGGCATGCTGTGGCACACGAGGCTGTTTTTTTTTTCCCTTGTAGCTCAGTGGCCCACGGTCCCTGCAGCCCCACATTGTCTAATGCCTATCTAATATTTGTTTGCTCCTGGTAAAATGCTCATTGATTTAATTTGATGCCAGCTGCCCAGGGTACTTAGCTCAGCAATTACCAGATCCAGGCACCTTGTCTTTGATGGTGGAAGCGCAGGGGTGTGCATATGCGTGTGTGAGGGGGGATAAAACAACAGAAGCACCCCCACAGCACATCAATGCTATTAAACAGCTCCAGGGGTCTGCATTTGCAGCACACCCCTCCCTCCATCCCCCAACATGCACACGCGTGCGCGCATCTTCCCAGATGGAAAATTCTGCTCTTGGCCAACACTGGCAGATTGCAGGGGGACGGGAGAGAGGGAGCTGTGAGCTGCTGTCACCAGGGACACATCCCATGGCTTCGCTGGCCTTCCACAAACCCCCCTGGGACAGGACGGGATGTGTCCTCTTTGGGAAGGCTTCATCTGACCAACACAGCTACCCCATACAGTTGGCTTGCACACTCACAAGCATTGCACGCTCACGAGTCTTGCACACAGCTGCTGTGTCCCTGCTTGCTCACAGCAGTCATGCACAACAGGGCAAGCAGCAGCTTCCCTGCTCACCCCGCCCGCCAAACAGGGAGTGAGGGTGGGGGCTCATGGGGGGTGGGTGGCTTTTGGGAAAG